GTGGTACCTCCCCCAAAAAAATACCCTCCAATGAAACCGCCATACCGGCGCTTTAACATATACTACATCCAAGCGGTGCACATACATTACAAAGTTGAAGAAGACCGAGATGATATTGAAGGCTTTGTCGCTTATTCGGGCCTTGCGGGCTGAAGTATGGGGCTACTTCCTATTCACGGCTTAGCAATGCAAGTTGTAGGTGTGATTACCCTTACCTTGGAGTTGATAATTTCATCTTTGACAAGTTTCTCGATGGCAGGAGCGCATCGGAGGATAGAATTAGAGGAATGGTATATAGTTCCAAACCGCGTTTTCCCTATCCTCTCAAGACCCCGAGAAATGTCAAGAGATTTACGAACACTCGTCAAGTGTGTGGTCGCATGTGTAGAATGACTGAAGAATGTCAGAACACCACGAGTAGTGTTGATTGTCTATGCGAAGTCAGATCAAATCTGCATTAGAGTATCTGTTACACACCTCAGAAAAGACATCAAGATTGCAGATATCACTCAACGTTCTGGCTAGAAAATGTGGAGAGTCGAGTGTGTTAATAATCCATGGATAATTGTTGCAGATGAGTCGACGGGCTTTTTTAGTATTCCCTGTATTATCAGAGCAAACCCCCGAGAATCGTTTTGGACCTATCATTTCGATGACCTACAAGGGGTGAGGCTTGGGAGATTTCAACTTTGTGTGACATACATGCTGAGCTTGCTCCCAGATATAGTCTGCCGTGTGAGATTCACTTGACGCCTCATCCCCATCTACAAAAAAGGTCCGTCGGTCTGGAGTAGTGACATGGAATGTATAGACTGATTGTGGATACTTGGTAGTATTGCCATCGAAAGTAATCGTTAAGTGTTCACATGTCTGAAGGTGTTTGATTCCAATCTTCCGTACCCGTTCGGCCTCTGCTGGTATATGTTTATCCCTGAGAGTTGTAGACGATACAGGGTCATACTTGGGGTTCAACGTTTGAAGCAGATGCTTCCAAAATGGTGAGTCCGCAAGTGAATCTGAAAGGCCTGCCACACAAAACAAATTGACGACTGCGGCATTTACAAGTGCATCAAGTCTTTTCTTTCCTTCAATCTTGGCAATTCCTTCGATAGTTGGTTGGCGGCAAGCTTTGGAGTTGTTTGGTTCATCTTCGCCATCCTCCTCTTCTCCCACATCGATCTTCCGCTTCTTCGACTCTGACCCTTTTAACACATCTTCAGCCAGATTTCCAGGAGCATCCTTGCGGAGTTCTTCTGATACTTTGTTTCGGAGTATTGGGTCCAAGCTTTTGCAGACGGCACCATGTGCGAGCAGCCTCGCTTTATTTCGATTTGGTGTCTTCCAATTATCTCCACACCCAATACATCTCACCGTAGAATAGAGGGAAAGAAAACGTACAGTAGGCTACCCCTCACTGGTACAAAGATGCCCACCCCCTTCTCCGTCTACAAGGCCGTCCTCTAAAATCATATAGATGCAATGTAATTTTTATTTATCATCTGAATAATG